AGTTTGGAAATACCGGAGCGCGATTGATTTTGTATCCAGCTGCTTTAACCAGCTGATCCAAGGTAAACCGTCGGCTGCGGAGGGGAGCAGACCTGCTCCAGCCCTGGCTTGCAGAGCAAGAAGAACTGACGGTCCTTGGGAGGATGAGGAGTGACGCTGAGCGGTGAGGAGCTGCCCTTGCGAAGGGCAGCCACCGCTCCTCGGAAAGGCACCACTGCCGGCACCGCCGGGCGCGGGGGCCGCCTTCCCCCAGGGAATGGTACCGTCCGTGCTTTGGGTATTTCACAAACTGCTGTCATGCTCTACCAGTGTGACTCCCCTCCAGAGCCGCCCAAAAACGTCACCCCGAACCTCCCGCTCCGCAGTACGGGAACGCAGCCCACCAGACAGGCCCTGACCCTCAGCCCCGCCATCCAGCACCCTCCCCTCCTCTTCCGCCCCCAAGAGTGGCAACGGGGTCAGCTAGCCCAGGAAGACTGGAATAGTCCCTGGGGAGGATTTGGGGGGAAAAAAATAAGAAGAGAAGGAAACAAGAGCAGCACAAAAGTAGCAGAAGCAGCCCTGAGATGGGGCTTCAGGCCAACAGCCAAACGAACAATAAAAATCCACAGCATCCGATTCACTAGAGGTACTTTTCAGGATCTACCTCTCCAGAAGTACTCGCTAGGAAGAGCCGGCTAACATCAAATGTAGGAAAGGGATAAAAACACATACAGGATTGCTTGTGCTGTTAAAGTAAAAAACAAGTTTCATGGAAAGTGTTTGGAACCCACAAAAAATGATAATCTGCTCTTGTAGAGACTCCGCATCTGGAAAAAAGGGTGCAGCAGCATTCACTGCAGACTCCAGCATCACAGATGGAGATTAGTTAAGAGGAACTGAGATTGCTACTTAGACAATGTCTGACCTCTCCTGCAGCCTAGCCCCTCGGAGGGGCTGCAGGAGAGGTCAGACATTGCATACATACTAACAGGAAGGCAAAACCCCAAATTTTTTCAGAATCCCACTGCCCCCAGAGGCAAGGGAGCGCTCTGCTGACTGCACCAAATCAAAGACTTGTGGCCTGCTCCAGGTAACACACTGCCACACACGCAAATAGCAGCCATGCTTTGGGTTTTTAATCCCAACATCTGTAACAGGTTTAGAACAGCTGCAGTCACAGCTGTCAGCCCACACTGGGGAGCTTCTCACCGAGATTCCTCGCTTTCTTGCCCAGTAACACGCCTACTGTGTGCTGAGTCAGCGCTAGGTACGGCACACCAGTCGTGCCCTCTCTCCTCACTCGGTTCAGGATTAGCGCCAGCAGCTATTTAAATAAGCTTTGGAAGATTCCAGAAAAGGTTTTCACCCCTTCAGGGTTATTCTGTAAGTAGATTTCAAATCACAACCAGTGCACTACTTCATTTTTTAATATGGCACCATTTGTTCCAGTGTTGGTCCCTGTAGGGCTCCACGGGAGGGGCTGGAGCACACAAATGTTGTGCATTACATCAGGTATGCCATAGCCATGCAGACCCCACATCACGCTAAGCAAAAGGACAAATATTTCTATTAAGGTATTTGTACTATATGTAATATCAGAACTTCAAGACATTGCCCTCAAAATACCTCATCTGCTTAACAAAAAAAATCCCAAACACTTCAGTCTGCCCGTTGAAGGATGAAGAGCGGGGTGAGCTTGTGGAAAGGCCACCAAACACCTGGCTGCAGCTCCCCACCAAGGTGAACGCCGCATGGCAAGCTGGTGTGTTCAGAAGCCTCAGCTGAAAAAACCTGGCCATCTGATATGCCTGCTTCCTGTCCCCAACTCCCTTGGTTGCTGGAAATCTGCCTTACAGACTTGCTCTGGAAGAGCCTGGGATGAAGAGGAAGTGATTTTCACAGCAAGAAGTAGGCAGCACAAGAGATTTTATTTTGCTTAAAATATAGAGGAAAAAAAAATAAATACATCCACCCACAATACAAAGAGCAGTTTCCAAATTCACGTACTTTTCTTTCAAGGACTTCCTCTGACTGGGAGAACAGAGGCAGTCTGACCCCTCAGAAAGAGTTCCACCTGACAGGAGCTCTGTGGTATCACTGTACATGACCAGTGCACTCAGCCTGACATTTAATGTAAACCAAAGCAAACGGTCATGTTTACTCCTCTGAATCCAGCGCCTCCCAGAGAAGCCACGGATATCTCTGCATATGTACAGTGTATTTACTCCTATATCTTCCAGGGCACAGGCAATTCTTACAGGATTTCCAGGCCCTGCTCACTCTGCAGCGAGGGCATCAGCCCACATTCTGGCGGTTGCCGTACCCTCTTGGGTGTGTATCTTTCCAGTCATCCCAGTTCCGAGCTTTTTGAAGAGCTTCTTCATCCTCCTCCTCCTCTTTTTTCTCCTGCTGCTGCTTTTGCAACTCTTCATCAGTTATACCTGCTGAAGGTGAAGAACAGGAGCGAGGGGCTGTAAGACAGTGGAAGATTCCCTGTCCAGTTCTCAAAACAGAAGCCCTGCCAGGAGGCGGTTTAGACAAAAAGCAGGAATTGCTAAAGAGCTGTCTAGCAATCCAGTTACTCTCAGCCTAATAAAGTCAGCTCTTACTCTTCCTCAGGCAGCAGCTGTTTTACATCCTGAACACATCCCGGTTCACTCTCCCCCTCAAGAGACTTCCCAAATTCTCTATTCCAGTCTTTGCTTTGCTACCCCGTACCTGGCATTCTCTGCGGCACACACTGACCAGACACGACTCCTTGCCTTCTGCGCTGCTCATACCAGTCATCCACAGTCATAGTGGGCAGGCCAGGATATCCAGCACCAAACACTCTACAGGAAGAGACAGACAGTCAAAGGCAGCACTTTACATCGCTACGAATGAGCGGAAACATAGACAACCATGCACAGAACTACTCTGCAATCCCATTTGTGCTAGCAGTATAAGGCATGTTATCAAGGAGGGTTTCAGAACAAACTGATTTCTACAGCCTGAGCCCTCAGCAACAGACTCGCCAGCAACCTAGCCATAACGGCATTTAAAGAGTTCATCCTGCTAGTTTAGAGAGGTGAGGACTGTTCTAGTCCAAAGACCTTGAATCACTTCTCTAGCCTGAAGGAGAACACTCTGTGCTAGCATAGCTTGCCAAGGAGGCCCCCGGGAACTGAATTAAGCACGGCTTGGCTAAATAGATATAAGAAGGCTCAGGGCAAATAACGTCAAAAGCATGACAAGAAACTTGGTTTCTATCCCATTTTGTGCTTTAGCTGCCATATTCCTTGCAAGAATCTCACGGTGCCACAAAGTGTTAAGATCTTGATACCCTAAGGAAAGCCTTACAGTTAAAAACTGTGTTATTGTGACTGATGATTCTCTGGTAGGTATCACATCTTCCCAGCCCCTAAGATAGCTTATTTGAATTCATTGAAATCTTTCAGAGTTTACATTAGATTAAGAGACCACATGCGCTTTTCACCGCTGGGCTCTTTATTTTAACAGTGAAGAACAATCCTGTTAATATAACATAGAGGTTAGAGGGGCAGATAAGCCTTGCCTCTCCACAGCTTACCAAACAGCAAGCATGTGGCCTATAAACTAATACAGTAATATTTGTTTAATACGATCTCCTCTTTGGCCATCCCAACAGGAGGAAACAGCATCAGCCAAGACACTGCAGCATGCTGGTAACAGAAGAAATCAGGGGAAGTTCAAGAAATGTATTAGATGTTCTCCCTATCCCCGGCCCAGATACACAACACAAGCCATCTTGATGCGACATCTGCCTGAAGGTAACGACTGGTTTTCTGCATTTGAAAGAATATCTTAGGCTTGATGTGAGAACAGAGCACCGCCCCATACTGGGTCTAAATAATCAGAAAACAACATACTTAGCCTGAGCAGCATCCCGGGCAAGAATGAAAGGTTTCAACGGAGCCCTGACTTGCCGAGAAGTACTGTGTGGTTGTGCTGAAGACTGAAGATGCAAACAATAGTCACAAGATAATCGTATAGATAAGATCCCCTTCTCTGCTTCCCACCCCAAACAAATTATTAAAGGTCTTGCAGAAGAGAAATGTCTCTGCTGTCAGAGCAACATCCCAAGATGGACAATTCAGCCCTTAATCCAGTTTCAATCACGAAGTCCATCTGTGAGCTTCTACAAATCACTTCTCTTTGTGCCTTTGTTACACCCGCTCTGATCAAAGCGGAAAGCTGACAGAGCTAAACCAGATCAGCTCAGATCAAAGCATGAAATATAGCTCATTTCCCCCAGGGATCAAATGCAGTACATTCTGAAGCAAGCAGAGCTCATCATTTCCGATGATATCACCCAGGGCCCTACAGAAGAGCACAGTTCTGCAATGCCAACAATGAAGCGCACAAACCAGCTGTGCCAACCAAGCTGGACTATGGTCTATGTCAGCACATTATGATTTTTTATTTCTAGACAGACTTTTTAGGTGAGTAACATAAAGCCCAGAAACTCTATTCTACACAGGAATTGCAGGTCTAGGAGAAGCTTTCATCATTCAGAATGGGCATTTCTTTCTGTAACACCTGGACACATGGCAGACCACAAGCACTGGTTTGAAAGAAATCACAAGGGTCTTCTTTTAATCTACAAATGTACTTTGACTTCTTTAGAGTAAAGGGTCTGGCAGAACCCAGCAAAGTGGAGAAAAGCCTTTGCATGCAGACCAGTTCAGCTCCGATATTCAAAGTTCTAGCATTCCACAAGCCGTGACTGTCTAGAACACGTAGTAGCAGTGGACAGTGACTAATGCAAATATCAGACCACTGCCCATTCAGAATTAAACCAAACCCCCTCTGCTTGTGCTGTGATTGAGCTAAATTTCAATCGAGAATTCACAGAATAAAACTTATATAAAACTCTGCTGCTGAATTCCTCTGGGGTTCATTTACCTGCAACAGTGTCTACCATCAGGTCCACAGGACCTGCAGGTTCAAGAGAGATCTCATACCTGTTTCGCTGTACCTCTGCTCCTCAAGATGACCATTTCTTGATCAATACTCTCAATTTCCTCCAGGCTGGTGTTGATCCATTTCCGGATTTGTAGTATGTAAAATTCCCGTATCTGATCCTCATCTGCTTGCCCGCTCTCCACAAAGGTTCTCATAGAGGCTAACCTGTTCTCCAGTTCCTTCTTCTGCTTATATCTGTCTCAAAGAGAACAACATGAGATCATTAAACAACCTTTCTCTAGCCCAGCCCAGATACAGTGTTTTCTAAATTAACCAATTTCCTATTTCTTGAAATTCAATCAAATGCAGTTAGAGAGCTACCTCCTGCCCCAATCACTTTTAACAGATCTTGACAGAGGTGAC